GAAATGCAGCTAAGTTCCCTCGACACCGTTTGATTCGCTATATGCTCGCGTTCACACACAATCGTACCATATATGCTGAAGTACAAACGACGCTTACAGGGGATCTGGCTGGTTGGGCATTCCTTTGGTTGCGTAGCCATGCTGGCCGTAAGCCCCCCATAAATTTCAGCATTGCCAGGCGTTTCCTACGGCACAGTTTGACCATGCTATTTCACAAGCCTGTTAGATAAAAACACAGATAAGTTTAACGAGACCCATTTGAAGTAATGCTTAACAACCTCAACATCGAAAGTAGGGAAAAGATTTAAAAATACCTATAGACACTCTTACAGAAATACAATTTGCTAAATAAATAAGGTAAAACATATCATCACAATATTGTCCACCCAGCCGAATGTTTTTTCTTTCATTATCTTTCAAAGCCACCAAACAACAAATGGTAACGGAGCTTCTACCATCAACACGGACGTCCCAGTGTCCTCTACACTTTACATTTACTTGTATTTTGCGTTTTACTGTTATTGCGCTTCATATGTATCCCTACATACTGTACATATACTTTTCTTTATTGTCGTCCTGGCATCGCATCTCGTCGTGACGTTTCAGCCCAAAAAAATGATCATGATTATAGGATGGCCAGCGGTAGCAATGACGGCAGTGGCAGCAGCAGCCGGAAAACTTTTTCAAGGTAGAGTTTTTTGCGTTCGTTTAGCCGTTAGCAGGCACACAGCCTAGGAGAAGCATCGCCAACTGCGCTTCTCTTTCATCTTTAATGTATTTCGTACCAGCTCTCGTTTTGAGAATGATCACGGCTGAATTACGCGGGCATACTATTTTGATAGTAATGGAGCCTCTCGCCTGACAGGCGTCCGACACGGCCAGAGCAGTAGTGGTTAGTCCCGCGCGCCCCCGCCCAAGAAGGTGACGATGGAAACAGGTGGTAGGAAAAAAACGATCTCGCTGTTTCTTGCAACTTCTGTTGCTGCTGGTGACACTGCCTTTCTTTGTACTTTCTACCTCTGCCGCACCACCATAGGTTATGCTCTTACTTTACGTTTCTCCGCTATTTTACAAATTTGGGTGTGACCGAAAGTAGCTCTGGATTTCTGCCGTCGCTCCAGCTATTTTCACAAAAGCAGTGTAGAATGAGCTTGGATCTGTTACGCGCCGGCTGGTTGGCGCAAAAAAGAAGAGTCTGACCAACTATGACAACGATAACAATGAGACATGGGGTCATCCTGTGCACCCCTCGGTCCGTTATCTAATCAGACAGCTATCTTGAAGCCCTCAGCTATAGAAGAAAGGACTGCAAGCTTGGGTGAAGGGGATGAAAATGGAAGAGCGAGGCGGGACTTCATAAAAATTATATTTGATCTTTTCTTGGATGGGCTAAGATGACTGCCCTGAACGAATGGAATGAGCTAGTGTTGACGGAGATGAGCCAAGGGCTGTGTATGAACTGTTCCAGCTTAAAAATGGGTCGCGGAATGCGGCGGCGGCAGCAGCAGCAAAGGGCTAAGTCTGCTTTTAAAAATGGACGACATGGCGGATCTCTGGCTCACTGAACCTGGCCAGGCGGCTTGGCAACCCCTATCGCTTACTTAAACTCTTCGAGAGCAGTTCTGCGCTGCCCTGCGCATCGATACGATAAGCCGCATTTCGACCCAGCGGCGGGGCAAAAATTAAAGAGAAAAAGGTGAAAATGTGATAAACATAGAGAGAAAACTATGACAAGCTAACAAAAATACGAAAACTGGAGTAAAACTAGATACGAATACTGGACGAAAACTGGTTTGATGGAAAGCCTACAGGATATGGGGACAAAAGCCACTGAAAGCTTCCGATTCGGACGCGATAAACAGAAAAGGGCTCTTTCTCGTTGCCCGACCAAGAACGAACCTTTTCGTCGAAGGAAACGGTTGTCCAACTCGAAATGGATAAAACTGATTGAACCTTTTACTGACAGTGGCTGATCTGGCCCCAGAGTAAGCCACTGAACAGACCGACTCCTTGTCATTTACCTACGCAGCCTGCAGATCGTCATGATCCGAAAGGGTAACGGCAACGGCAGACGACGAAGAAAAAATAAAGAGTTTCTTACGTCCGGAGGATATTTCGTCGTCGATGAATAGTGATTGTTACAGGGTTCGTCGCTCCTAGTCATCATTTAGCACGCGAGGCGAGAGCTAACTTCAGACAATCTTAACGTAAAGCGATTTCTATAACCCATTCCCACGAGGTTCCATTAGAGAAAGACACTGAGTGTGTTAGAATATTCCGCGACTATTTTTAAAATGTCTGCTCCCGTATTTCATATCTGTTTAGTATCTTCTATTTGCGGCAAAACCACTTGACTTCGCTAAAAGAGAAAAGAAAATGATGAGAATAGGCAAATTAAATTATGCACAACCAAAAGAAGAACAGAGTGAACGATTCAACAACTGTAGTCATCAAAGCACAAGAACTATATGTGTATACATAAACACATATATATACATAAGTGTGTGTATAAGGGGGGTGTATATAAGGGGGTGGGGTAGAGCTAGTGGTATCGTGCCCATACGCAGGAGAGATTAAGCCTGCGAAAACTTGCTTTGTTGAACCTTATCTTCAAGCAGTTACTTAGCCATGTATTGTAAGTGCATTTTGCTCTTAGTATATATTTCTTTTTCAACGTTATGGTACGATACGCACTTGCTTGTTGAATCCCGAATGCTTTCCGTAATTCCGAATGAATTTCCGTAATTGTTGATATATGGCTAACTTGTACACTCTTCCTTATAATTGTTGTAACGGTAACAACGATTATAGTAAGCACAACAATAACCATCAGCATTTATATTGTCCGTATCTTCATCGTCCAGCTTTAGGCGTTTAGTATTACTGCTGCTTATCTTCCTTCCTTGATAGCACGCAATTCACACTGTGGAGCGTCCAAACGCACACAAATATACTGCTAGTTTTTATTATATAGGGCTTTCAAGACTCGCCGCGGCCCGAGCTGAGATAGCGGGCTGAATGAGCCGTCGTTTCCCTCATTGCAAAAAATGTGTGTACTGAGGACCTAGGCACACATGCACCATACACACCACGAAAGTCAGGTCCCAAAGCGGGTCAAAGAGCCAGCGGCCAAAAAGGATGTACCGTGGTGCTAATGTGGACCAGTTCCTTTCGCGACCACTGGCGAAGTCCCTCTGTTGTGTTCTGCTATGCATGGCCCTAGCAGATCGAGCGTTGAGACCTGCAACCGGCGTTCACCAGGGGTCCACTTTGCGCTGTACTGTTTCTGCCATAGGCTGACTGGAGTGTACGAAGCCAACAGGGCTCAGCCGATGGTTCATGATGCCCGCTTGTCCCCAGACTGCTGTAATGGCAGTGGACGCGGCGGCGTAGTACTCTCAGTTGCTCGCCTACGGGAACGCCCTATTATGAAGTATTAATAGTGTCCACTATCCATAGATTAGACATGCCATGTCGTCCGCTTATTACCCTAAAGAGCGAGGCGCAGTGACCGGAGCTGCGGAACTGTATGCCAGGGTTGCCAGACCCTGCTCTAAGCAGCAAGCTGGCAAAAGTGTTCACTAACGCTGGAGAGCGATTGTTCCGATCGGACGGTAGTAGAACGCAGGAAACCGTGGTCTTACTGTTAGTTTTGACTTGAAAGTGAACAAGCTTGAAGGCAGTAGAAGGGTGGCAAACCTCTTCTAGTTTGCTGTAGTAACTGAAGCGGCACATTAGATGTTCGCTTGCGTGGTATAGCGTAGCATTGCCGATTTCTACCCTGACCACACTCACCTAACCTACAATAATGGATGGTGGCAGAAAACAAGCGAAGGTTGGTGATGACGTCTTGAGGTCGTTGGGCAGACAGAATAATCGCTCGTTTGCTTGAACAGATGACAGCAGCAAAAATGCCGGAGACCTCTGCTGCTGCTACTGCTACATACGACAACGAGGTTGATGATATTAACGGCGGCGTTATTATTGGCGCAACAAAGGCGGCGACGGCAACAAAAGGAACCACAGGATTACAAGCAGAATGGGCCATCCAGGTTCTTTTTTGCTCGCGCTTGATACGGCCATTTTTATCCTGAGCTGGCTGTTCCGTTAATGCTATGTATATATAGACAGAGTGCTATTGTCTACATTGGTCAAACGTATTTTTGCTGTTTGCGTAGACTTGAGTATGTAATCTATAATACGAACCAGATGGCTCGCGGTAATGGATACACGTACGACCCTGCTGCAGATGAGCAGGAAATAGTGAACAAAGGAAAGGAAAACTTTGAACAGGGGAAAACGATGAAACGACAGGAGAACGGTTGTATTTGTACGGAGAAAATGGCTCTTCCGTTTTAGGGAACATGAGATGAGGAATTTACAATTCACCCATTTTATAGAAAATAAAATTAATTTATCATAATTATAAGTAATTATATATTGCATAACAAATTGATTAGAGGTGCTGCCTTTCAAGCAAGACAAGAGATTCGTATTGGACACCTTCATTAGCGTTCATATAGCAAAGAACTTTAAAAGATGTACGAAACACAATGGTCCGGTAATCCGTTTGCTAGGTAAAATTTGGCATGCTTGCATTTTGGAGTCAAACGAGCGATGATTCGCAGAAGGTTTTCCCCGTAACAAAGTGGGTAACACGTATCCAGAAAGCAGGACATATCTTATTGGTATAAGTACGTTTTTTTTAAATCATATCGATGCTACACTTTCCATTTTTCGAATCGCTGCATCACCGTCCTTCCAATTGCCACCAAAATTTGAATCACCTGCTCTAGTGGGTGAAGCTAGATATCATAGCAAATACTTTCAGCCGAAAGCCGAAATGGGCTGAAACAAACCACGAGCTTCATCTTCTCCCGACCTCTCATCCTGTCTGTTAGAAACTGGGAAACCACAGAATGATTAGCCTAAACCGTTTGAATATACTGAGGTCGGCACTGTGTCCGCTTACTACTGATCATTAATTTGCTGTTACTCACCTCGTTGGTGTTCCATCGGTGTCGCTGAGGCGATAGGTAATCGGCTTTTTGGATGGCTTCGAGACTTTCGGGTAAAGAAGGTCCACCTCCAGTAGTACCCCCGCCGACGCTATCTCCTCCGGACTCCTCCAACTCTGAAACGTTGGTAGTCCCAATGAATCACGCATGGACACCAATACGCATACACGCAGAGACACGAAGACCGAACGACATTGCATGTGAGTATATCCGTAGATGCTTCGGTGGCGATATCGCCTCTCTACATATATATATTTTGGGGGCCCTTAGCCAACATTTTTCACTTTTATTTTAATTACATTTTACCCACTTGCTGCTTTACCCCAGATACAAAATAAAGATTCTCCATCTGTCAAATGATTTTTGTTTTGTCCACATTCGTATATAACTTCAAACACCCTTAGATTTTCGAGCCGAAAACTACCATAGTAAACCCACAATTTTCTTAAATAGGTTCGAATGTTCGAACTTACTTACAAAGTTAGCAATGTTCTACTTTTAAATAAATATTAGGATCTATTGATTTTTAAAGTCGCTCGTTGCGGGTCTTTCCCAGGGATACTCAGTAAATTTATGAAAGATTTTTATGCAAAAGAGCTTAGACGCATCGTATTTGTATTAGATCGAAGCCTTTTTGCGTGAAATCGCTTTGTATATAATACAACCCAACATCAAAGAAAGATGACTTACTCCCTTATGCATAGTAGCAGTAAGTGGAATATAACATACGCCAGTTCCTTTCGATTTCCGATTATACAGACCTTCTGGATCCGTTTCATGTCCTGGGCAACTTATTTTGAATAAATTTAATGGAAAAGAAAGAATCGGGCCTAATTTCATTCACATTTGAATCACTTTAGATAATTCCAATAATTATTCATTATTATATTTTCCCACATTTAGCCAAATTGGACTTGCGTGTAAAGTTGTGACGGTGTGTGTATGCGTGCGTGGCTGCACGAAGCGATGGACGGAAATGAGACGTGGTCTTAAATATATTATAATTTACCCATAGAAAGACCTATCTAGATACACGTGGTTGGCATGATTTTAGTTCGCGTCAAATAGACACTGCAAAGACTAAAAAAAAAAAATAGTATTGCAAAATATCCGCAAAAAGTCGGTATTGATAACGCCGAACATCGTTTTAATAGTTCGTCAAATTTCTCTACAAGTTTTTTCACGAGTTAAGTATTATCGTAAGAACGACAGAAGTCCACCAAAGTTGGAAAGTTAAGCATTGGACGCTTAGGTAGTGCAAAGAGGAATCATGTAACTTCTAATCTAATGAACTTATGCTACACCCGCTTCTTTCATATTCTACTACAGTAATAACGGTTTTGGAATCTATAGCTGCAATCTTTGCAAACATCTACGTTCTATATATATATATATATATATATATACGTGGCCACGTTCTGGCTTCTTTTGCACTGATCCCCCCCCGCATTGATAGTCGTGCCTAGCCCATTTCAGCGGATGGAGAACTGGAATGTCCTTCTTTTTTCCATCCGTTTGCCAGCCCACCGTTTTTCCCTTAGCCTTTTTTTTTTACTACGCCAGCGGTGGCCGATTGGAGCATACTACCTGATCCATTCCTGTCCCGTTCACAGGCTTCAGGAACGAATTGAGAATTGGTGCTCGTTCGTATCCGGCTATTGTTGGCCAAAGGGGGGCCTATCGCACGTGATCGCACGTGCCATCACCACATCGGAGAAACCAAGGGTCTATTACAGCGATGGAGTTGAGTACTGCACTGAGAGCTGTCGCAACTGCTCGCGACGATGAGAAAAAAGGCTTATAGAACGGTATGGAAGCAGCTTGGGACGAACGCCCGACGACACGCAAGGTGTAGACGCAACCGACCCAGATTACTTTAGGCTGGGGCAGGCCGTGACAATGGATGCGTGACAACGGCGGCCACGAACTTCCCGTCAACGCTGGCATTGTCCAAACAGGCAGTTGGTTCAGAATAAGACAGCAGCTCGGCGTGGGTTATCTTAACAAAGTTAAATATTTCGCGGTCAGCATATAGAAAAAGTGAGCGCGTCCAAACAGAAAAAGAAGTGGGGAAAAGAGTCACTGGAACATTCTTGCCCTATACGATAGGCGGCCAAAGAAAGCAACAGCTGAACTGCAAAAAGCACATTTATACTATGATCGTCCATAACGTATAAATCATGTGACACAATATCAATGAATCAACTGAATGTTTTTTGCTGAATATATATGTATATATATATATATATATATCCGATAGTTTCCAATAAAATACATTATTTGCATACACGCCTTTATAATTATTATATAATTGACAACATTACGACGAAGTGTATGAGATGCTACTAGGCAAAATATTGTAACTACGATCATAATTACCGTTTGATCTAGTTCAGGTAGATTTGATGGCGCAGTATAAGTGGTTGTTTCTTAAAGGGTATCAATCGTCTAGCCCTTCCTTTGCAAGCGGGCTCACCTCTGTATGTTTTTAGCAGACCATATAAGTTTATTGATCTACGAACAAGCAGATGCATCAGAGCGGTAGCAAGATGTTTATGTCTTTGGCTAAAATGGAACACTACCCAGTTTGATCTCGTTTCGGTGCCTGCCTTTCACGTTATATACGTGGATATATAATCCTGTAGGCGCAGAAGCTACCTTCAGCAGAGTTATGCAGCAGTGCTATGTTTACAACTTTATTCTGTACTGATACCGCACAGTCACGGGTTGTCCATATTGCATTAGCGTGCTACACTGATTATTAATTAAAAAGCTGTCGCTAACAGAAGGCCAACGAAATGGTCCGTCTTTAGAGTTCTAGGACCATGAAATTGCCGCACCTCACCCAGACCACCACGGGCTCCCGGCCCTATAGCTACTCAAACTCATGTCTCTACAGAAGGCTAGAAGAGATTGCTCGGAAAAAAAGGCTAATTCTAGCAGAGGATTTCTGTATCGTTCGGTCTGTAGAATAACATCTATAGGAAGATCGCACACGGATGCGTCCAGTGTGTACCAATAGGTTGAAAATAATCACTACTTGACTGACTGTCATTGAAAGAAGTCATCATCGTCGTAGCTATAATTCGTCATAATTATATTTAGTCGAAATTCCTATGCTAAGTACATAGCTATTTCTAGAAATCACACCTTTTGGGGCTTACGCACCCCATTATCACACACATCTAACCACGTATTAGACATCTCGAATGGGTCTAGTAGGCAACTCAAGTACCGTGGTCACCGCAGAGCACAATACAATCCATTTCCCCATGTAAAAACAGACCTGACAGCGTCAATCAGCTTTAGGTCGAACGGAACAATACCTAAAGTTGGTCCTTCTCATCTGGTCAACTTACAAACAATTGCTATTTGGAGGTTTGCGCATGAATCAAACCGATGCAGCTCCATGTGCTGCAAATCGCGCCGCTCTACAACTAGTCTCATTCACTTACTTTCCCATCGAAAAAGTTCTCCGGACTGACATATCGAGATCCGGGCGGTTCTACGATCTTTTCACTCACTAGCTTCATCTTCGTCGCTATAGCCACTGAATTACACTGGATCAATGGGCGCCGTTAAGAAGAACTGTTCATGAAGGTAACAGTCGTCACTTGTCATTGTACGTAGAGAAAATATTCGAGAGCAGGCAGCTGTGACAGAGATAAGGCGAACCCCACGAGCAAAACAACAGACGAGGTCGATCGCGAACTGCTATAGAATCTAGCAATTAAACAATAGCGAAGGGTAGACAGGCGGATAAAATGTTCAAACTAATAAGTTAGCTACGATGTAGTTCACTATTCTACTAAAACTTAACTCAAGTGTGAGTGTTCCGATGGAGTAAGCCCCTTTGGAACTGGTTGCTCGGAGGAAGTGACTCCGCACTAACATGTAATGGAAATCATATCATTTTCTCGGAAAGGATCAACACCAAGACGTTCGAAGTAACAAGCGACGCAAACAACAATATCCAACAGCGCGTGGCCTTCTCTTAGAGTGGGAAAGGCCGATATAGTTGAAAGCGAAAATTAACATGACGAGGGCTGGGCCGCAAGTAAAATTTAGCAATAATTAAGCACGCAACTCGATCATAACAAATAAACGATATTATTCGTTGCCTATATTTCGGTGACAGAAACGTAATTAGCAACTAAACACGAAATCCGCCGAAGCGGCGACTTACTTTATATTCTGACCTAAAGCAAATCTATACAGCTTTTATACAAGCACTTCTTGTGATGGCTTGAAGGGTTGCTGCCGCTGCTTCAAAATTGTCAATTTCGCTAACTTGTTTAGTGAAGCATGGCCATATTTCATGCTTTTCATCACTTCAGATCCCATCGAAAGCTGGCTCGTACCACATAAACCCCAAACAACAGCATCGCTTTCGTGACCATTACCGCTTGGAGTTCCATAATGGCGTAAAACCTTGTTTTGACGGGTTATGTATGTCCTGCTTTGGTTTCATTCCAACGAGCACTCACTCCTTATTACCCTTCACACAGACTACGTGCAGCCTGCACATAGCTCTACTGAGTTGATAAAAGGTCTTTTCTGTCTGTTTGCTAATCTGTCTGTTCGTCGGTATCTCTGTCTCATTGTCTATCTATCTGTCTGCCCACCTGTCTGCCCATCTGCCTATTTGTCCGTCCATCTGCCTGTCTGTTCACCGGTATACCTGTCCGTCTGCCTGTCTGTATGTCTGTCTACCCGTTCATCCGTCCGCCTGTCTGTCTGTCTGTCTGTCACGGACGGGCAGGCCGGCCGACACACAGACAGACAAAGCGGCGGACACACAGATAGACAGACCGGCCGACACACAGATATACAGACCGGCCGAACACAGATAGACAGATGCATAGACCGACAAACGGATAGACGGCCGACAGACGGACAAACAGACGCCGACACACAGATAGACAGATGCATAGACCGACAAACGGATAGACCGGCCAACACACAAACAGATAGACAGACGGACGGACAGACCGGCCGACACACAGACAAAGACAGACGGACGAAGACCGGCCGACACATTGATAGACAGATGCATAGACCGAGAAACGGATAGACCGGCCGACACACAGACAGTAGACAGACGGACGACAGACCG